GTAGGGAAAACTCCAGAAATCACTGTTGTTTCTCTCTGCTACTGACAATATAAACAGATGCTTATCAGAATAGAGTATCATCCTTTCTACCGCTTCATCATTCTGAAAGCTGGATAAAATAAGTTTTTTTAGATAGCTATATCGAGATATACATGACATACAATAAACTGCATATACTTAAAATATGCCATTTGAAAAGCTTTGACATATGTATACACCCATGAAACCATCACCACAATCCACATCATGAACCTATCCATCAACCGCAATAAAATCTGTTTTTGAGACTCACTGAGAAATCTCCAGATGGAAAGAAACCACTGAAGACCCCTTGCTTTGCAGATGAGGAAATGAGGCCCCAAAAGGGGAAGTGACTTACACAAATCCCCAGGAGTGATCAGGGGTAGAGCAGGCATCCTCAGACCCTGGGTCACTGCTCCAACACTCTTGGCTGTCCAGTCATCCAAGGTATTTCCACTCAGTTCTAGGAAAAGACCATTTTAGACCAAACACCTCTTTATCAACCTATCCCTGGGGTATCTGTAATTCAGAAAGAGAAAGATGATAGCTGTCTTTAGAAAAGTGTTCTTGGGACTTCCCTGGTGGTGCAGTGGTTAAGAATCCACCTGCCAATGCAGAGGACACAGGTTCAAGCCCTGGTCCGGGAAGATCCTACATGCTGAGGAGCAACTAAGCCCATGCATCACAGCTACTGAGCCTGTGCTCTAGAGCCCACGAGCCACAACTACTAAGCCCACGTGCCACAACTACTGAAGCCCACGTGCCTAGAGCCCATAGTCCGTGACAAGAGAAGCCACTGCAATGAGAAGCCCACGCACGGCAACAAAGAGTAGCCCCTGCTTGCTGCAACTAAAGAAAGCCCGCCCACAGCAATGTAGACCCAACATAGCCATAAATAAATAAATAATTTTTTAAATGATGTATAAGAATACTAAGAATATGTAAAGACATGGAGAGATGTTTACAGAATATTAAGGTTTTTTTTTTAGAATCCACTTATAAAACAAAACATGCATTCAAAATAATGACTATATAAGAAGGAAATACACCAAAAATTTAAACAAGTGATTTGGCTATACACTTCTGTGTGGTTAACAGTAACTTTAATTTTCTTCAATTTGCTTATAATTTACATTAAAAGAAAGAAAGAAAAGACCAAACCTCCCTCTAAGGTGGGATGGGAAACCACAGGTCCTGGCATCTTTCCTTATACCTTGGTCCCAACTGGGTTTGGCATCCTTCCTGATGCTGTGCTTTGTAGCCTTGGCTTTCCTTTTGGTCTGTGAGTTCCTGATTTGGGTTCACCTTAATACTTCATTTTCCCACCTACCCATACTTCGGGGCTCCTCAAAGCTCACGACCCTGGTGGTTCTCTGCTGCCCTCACCTGCCACCAGCAATCACCGTGTTAATCCAGTGGGACCCAGTTTACACTGGGCCCTGGCCTTCTTCCAAAGACAGCCTCTGTGCTTGCTTAGGTCTAAAAGTCCATTACACAAATTCTTGTTTCTATTAAGTCAGTTGGGAAGAACAAATAGAATTCATAGATCATTTGCTGTTTGCAACACCAAGCTCAAAAAGCCTCCAGTACAATAACTATTTGTCTTTCCTCAGCTGGAAGATAACCACCCAACACCTTATTGTGAAGATCTGTCTTCTCATCCTTCTCTGTCTGCATCAGGTTCCCATTTATGATCACCCCAGCTCAGGTTCCATGAATGGATCCCTCACT